CACCAAGGTCAAGGGATAAAGTGCTACAAAGTTCAATAATAGAAAAACTAATTTATTGTTTTGGATGCCAAGATATGGTTTCCCTCTGAAGAAATAGAGGCAAGGAGCCAGAGAAGATCTTCTGGGGATAGGAATATTCTTAATATTGATTCCAGTACTAATAACATGTATGGGTTTACTTTATGAAGATGTGTAAAGCTGTACACTAAGTTTGCGCAGTTTTCCATGCTAGCCGATTAGCTCAGTTAGACCATGGTGTTGTAACCCCAAGGTCAAGGGTTCAGATCCCCATACCTGATAACCAAAAAAAAAAAAAAAAAATTGTGCTTGTGCAATTTTCTATATATTACACTTCTATAAAAGTTTACACAAAAAATTCAATAAACAACTTTAACAGCATATTCAACACAACCAAAAGAAAATTAATAAACTGGAGAAACAGATTAAAGAAACTACCCAGAATGCAGGCCAAAGCCTAAAAGAAAAAATATAAAAAAACAATAAAGTGACAAGGAAAAATACAGCAAAAAAGCAGATAAACCTAATATGAAGGATATCAAAAAGTTCAAGGAAGGATTAGTATTAGCTTTCATTTCCATTTTTCCATGAACCTTCTGAAGTACCTTCAAACATGTGTGGAAACAATGAAGTAGAGGCAATATCTGAATAGATAATACCTGAAAACTTGTACAACTCATAAAAGACATTATCACTAACACTTTGAAAAGCAAAGACTGAGAAGATCCTTAAAGCAGCCAGAGAGAGAAGACAAAATACTTTCAAGGAAACACAAGATGAGTTGGATCTCTTATAAAAGGCTAATAAAAAGCAAGAGGTGGCACAATAGTATCTTTAATAGAATGGAAGAAAATAAACATGAACAAGAAATTGTATAATCAGTAAAATATCTCTCAAAAAAAGCAAATTAAAGACATTTTCAAACAAGCAAAATTGAGAGTTTTGCTACATCAGACAATCACAAAAAGAGATTCTAAAAGATGTACCTCAGACACAAGTTAAATGATCTGAGATAGAAGGAATGACTACTAAGGCACTGGTATAGGGGTGACAAATGTGGCACATGACCTGGCCAAACATTAGATTTTGTACATAAAGATTTACTGCAACAGATTCATGCTGATTCACTGACGTATTATCCATGGCTCCTTCTGCACTACAAAGCACAGTTAAGTAGTTGAAACAGAAACCATATAGCTGATAAAAATGAAATATTTACTATATGGCTCTTTACTGAAAAAGTTTTCCAACCCTTGTCCTAGTTACATACATGCCAAATTTAAACAATTATTAAATAATATCTAATAAAGTTTAAAAAAATAAAAGAATTAAAATATATGACAATAATAACTTGTTAATCTGGAGAGGAGGATTAAATTAAAGTGTTTTAAAAACTGTGTGTTGCAGAACGGCAGAAAATATTTGCAAACCATACATCTAATAAGGGATTAATCTCCAGAATATATAAGGAATTCAAACAACTCAATGGCAAGAAATAATCTGATTTCAAAATAAGCAAAGGACTTGACCAAACATTTCTCAAAAGAAAACATATAAATGGCCAACCAATAGGTACATGAAAAAATGTTTAGCATCACTAATCATTTGGGAAATGTAAATTAAAACCACAATGAGTTATCACCTCACACCTGTTAGAATGGCTTATATCAAAGAGACGAAAAATAAATGTTGGAGAGGATGCAGAGAAAAGGGAACTCTGATACATTGTTGGTGGGAATATAAACTAGTACAGACATTATGGAACAGTATGAAGATTTCTCAAAAAACTAAAAATAGAACTACCATATGATCCAGTAATTCTTCTTATTGGTATATATCCAAAGGAAGTGGAAATCAATACGTCAAAGGGATATCTACATTCCCATGTTCACTGCAGCATTGTTCACAATAGCCAACATATTGAAACAACCTAAGTGTTCATCAACAGATGAACAGATAAAGAAAATGTGGTATATATACTCAACAGAATACTATTTAGCCTTAAAAAGGAACCGTGTCATTTGCAACAACATGGATGAAACTGGAGTACATTATGCTAGGTGAAATAAGTCAGACACAGAAATACAAATACCACATGATCTCAATTATATGCGGACTCTAAAAAAGTTAAACTCATAGAAGTAGAGAGCAGAAAGATGGTTACCAGAGGCTAGGTAGGGGTGAAGGTGCAGGGAATGGGGAGTTGTTGATCAAAGGGTACAAAGTTTCACACAGACAAGAGGAAGAGGGGCAAAGCCTATTGCACAGAAGGATGATCATGGTCAATAGTAATTACTATATATTTCAAAATAAGAGAGTAATTTCAAGTGTCTCAGCATAAAAAATGATAGGTAAGCAAGGTAATGGTTATATCAATCAGCTTGATTTAATCATGCCACATTGTATACGTATATCAAAATATCACACTGTAGCCCATAACTATGTAATTATGATTTACCGATCACAAATAATATTAATAGTATTTTTTTTAAAAACTGCATGTTGTTCAGGAAGAGGGTAAATAGATTGATTTCCAACATAATTTAATAAATAAAACATGCATCTTAATATTTCTAGGGCTGCAGTCTACTTCTTGGAAGTAATGTTAATTTCTGAGATGAAAAAAGAATAAGCTGGTCAGTTAGCTCACTTGGTTAGAGCACAGTCTTATAATATCAAGGTCATGGGTTAAAATCCCCATATGGGCCAGACACCAAAAAAAAAAAAAGAAAACAAGAGTGAGTGAGGGAATAATTTCCAATACAGAACGAAGACACTGGAATTAAAAAAATATATCACAAAAAAAATCACCAAAAAAGTGAAAAACAACCCATAGAATGGGAGAAAACATTTACAAATCATATATCTGATAAGGGTCTGATATTCAGAATATAGAAAGCAGGATATATAAAAAATTCTTATAATTCAACTACAAGAAGTCATTCCAACTGAAAAGTAGACAAAGTCTTGAATAGAAGAAAGTATTAAAGAAGATAAACAAATGGCCAACAGCACATGCAAAGATGCTCAACATCATTAGTCATTAGGGAAATGCAAAACAAAACCAGAATGAGATACTACTTCACACCCACTAACATGGACAGAATAAAAAAAAAGGACAATAACAAATGGTGGCAAAAAAGTAGAGAAATTAGAACCCTCATACGTTGATGTGTGATTATAAAACGGTGCAGACACTTTGAACAGTCTGGCAATTCCTCAAAAGCTTAAACATAGAGTTACCGTAAGACCCACCAATTCCACTCCTAGGTATGTACCTAACAGAAATTAAAACACGTCCATGCAAAAACCTATAAAAGAATGTCCATACCAGGATTGTTCATAAAAGCCAAAAAGTGGAAGCTACCCAAGTGTTCATCAACTGATGCACGTGTAAAGAAAATGTGATAATATCCATAAAATGGAATGTAATCAGCTATAAAAAGGAATGAAGACTGCTACAACATGAATTAACCTTGAAATATTATGGTAAGTGAAAGAAACCAGCCACAAAAGACCATATGCTGTTTGATTACATTTATATGAAATGTCTAAAATAGGCAAATTCATAGAGACATAAACTAGATTAGTAGTTGCCAGGAGTCGAGGAGAAGGGGAACCTGGAGTGACTGCTAATATACAGCACTTCTCTTTTGGAAGATGAAATTATTCTAAAATTCTATAGTGGCAATGGTTGCACAAAACTGTGAACATATCAAAAATCACCAAGTTGTATACTTTAAAAAGAATTTTAAGATGTGAATTATATCTTAGAAAGCTGTTATGTATATTAGTTAAATTTTACCAAAAACTCAAGGGACAAATAATTTTAAGCTTACAAAAATCATTTCAAAGTTTAAAAAAAAAGGAGCATTCCACAACTCACTTTATGAGGTTAGCATGTCCTTGATATGTTACACAACAGCTATTGTAATAATAATGAATTCCCAATAACCAAAAGCAAATAGCAAAGAATTCTAAGATGTCAGAGAAAGGATTATTGCATAAAGACAAAGATTACACAACAAGAACTCTAAAAAAGTTCCCTCAAACTCTTAGAATTCTGATTTTATGATAATGATATTCATATTATTAAGGAACATTAATATCTGGTAATAAAATCATACCTACTTCTGATTAATCTAAGAAAACTAGATTTCAATAAAAATTACAGTACAGAAAAAAGGAGAAATCAACATTAAAATCTAAGTAAAAAATTACATAGACTATGTCTGCTTTTCAGTGACAGTATGTGTAGTAATCTCAATAATAATCGTGATTCATATACTTACACCCTAATAATATGAACAAGGTGTTCACCTGTTCAGTACTGTCAAAAATTTGAACATTGTTATTAAAATATAGATTCACATTATTTACTTTGTGACTCGACACTTTTCTAGGTTCACATATCTTTTGAAATGAATATGTCAAAGTTCAAAAGCATATGAATTTCCAACTGAAAACACTGCAATATAAGAAATTAAGTACTTATTGGAGAAAGAATCATGGCTCTAATTATCACACAATTATTTGCTTTGTGTAATAAACGACAAATCTAGAAATATATTATGCTTGATATAAACATATTCATTCAATTACTTATATATATTATAATATATTCATTTATAGGTTAAGTGGCTTAAATTAAGATCAACCTACTTATCATTCTTAGATCAGCCTTATGCAAATATCCAAAACCAACTTTCTTCCCAAGTTAATTTTTCCTGTGTTTACATTTTACTGATTATACTATGCTGCATATGATTGTTTTCAGATAACTTACATTAACATATATAAATATATAACTATGATTAAAAGGTATGGATAGCAATAAATGTCATCACTTAGTTCATTTACTCTGGTTGTAAAAAGTTTTTAATGAAACTGATTTACGTATGCATTGGCATATTAAAAAAACAGCAAAACTAAAAATATCAGTATAAAATATTAACCATAGGAAGAATTTTTTTTAAATGTACCTTCTTCAAGGATGGGTCGTGGGATGACAAATGGAATCTCCTGCAGAGGTTCCATATACTTGTGACCAGCACTAATAATCTTTATTTGAGGCAAACACAGGACAAGCGTTCCTGGCATTCTGGTTTGTCCATGGTACCAACTTCTTACTGTTCCAGGAATGTCACCAGATACAATTGTACTTGGGGAAGGCAGGCTATCATTTGGAATGAACACACAACAAGATTGCACTTCAAGCTAGAAAATAAAAGGAGAATTAAAATATTTGGATCAGACTAAACACTTCTTCAAGCACCTAATCTCTTCACCAGAATACATAGGCAAGACAAAAAAGAAAATGTCTGATATTTGTCTTTATGAGTTATTTTTACCAAGGAACCAATGAATACTTTAAAAGGTATTGTTTTCTTGCTATAAATTTGATCAAAAGTGCCCAGTGAGATTAGATGAAAATATATCTGCCCTTCCACAGTTCTTTCTAAGAAACATGACTGAGTTAGAAAATAAGCTGGCAAAAATAGGTGAGAAAATCCTCCTTCCTTTGCAGTTCATTAGATTTTCTTTACAGCAGAGGCCTTAGAACCGACTAGCATTTTATTGCTTTTATTTTTTTTTTAAAAGCTATTTCTATGTAAATTTGGCCCTTCCATTTGTACTTTTGATTTATTTTTTAAATAACCTTTATTTTTTAAAAGTTAATATGTGCGTTATAGGAAACTTAAGAATATGTAAGAAAAAATTTTTAAAACATTCAGTTTACAGCACTAGACAACCATTAAATAACATGTTTATATCACATATTTTTTCTTTTTATATATACATATACAAAGGTTCAAGTATACATATATCACATTTATTATAGATAAACAGATACATGATAATAACAAAATCAGAGATTTAAAAAGCAGAACATAAGTCCTTTTTAAAAAAAATTATTACCTAAATTGTGATTTCATGTGAAATTTTTATGCTCCTCTATTTTGAAGTTACGTAAGTTGACAAGTCCTTAGAAAGTTAAAATAAGACTAAGCCTAAACCAAAAACTGAATTCATCAAGAGCTTTTAATTCAGAAGCAATATAAAGTCTATTACTCTTAGTTAGCTCTTACAAAGTAATATTCTCTATCTTGTTAATAAATTGCTCCAAAAACCCAGCATACTTCAATTATTTGTTAAGAAAATAGAAACTAAAATATTTGGCATACAAAAGTGTTATCTAAAGGGGTAATAAAAATTTTTTGCTTTATAAGCTTGTATATTTTAGGAAATTATATTAGGAAAGAGACTATATTTTTTATAAAAGATAACTAAGGATACAGTAATATCCCTTCTCATGGGGCCACTCTCCTTAGTGAGAGCAAATATTACACATGTTCAGAATTCTTTGATATAATAAATAATTTGCCAACCTATAAATAAGCAAATCTGTTTGCTTCACGTATCTGGGTATAAACAAACTGCTGAATTCAGTGAAGAAAAATATAAATAAAAATTTGCAAAAATAAATGCATTGGTTCATGAAATATGAGCTTTTTTTTTTTTTTTTTTTTGGACCAGGAAGAGGATTGCAACCCTTGGCATGGTGTGGTCTGCACCAAGCTCAGCCAGTGAGCGCACCGGCCATCCATATGTAGGATCCAAACCTGTGGCCTCAGCGTTACCAGCGCCACACTCTCCCGAGTGAGCACACGAGCTCATTTTATTACTGCTAGAATTTTATCTTTCATTTATCATGTAGTTTATGTATGTGCATGTTATGTAGTTAATTTAAAATCACAGCACATTTATTCTGAAACAAGTCAATATTGCCTCAGATACGTTACAATTATGTTTTTAAATATTTAACATAATACATTAGTGATGTTCCATTGTACAATTTAAAACAGCACATTAAGAGCATATTCTCTATTTATTCAGGTTAAAGTCTCAAACTATGCAGAGTCAGTATTTAACACTTCATGTAGGTATTGATATTATTTTGAAACCTGCTTTTAATAATATGAGGTAGTTTAATATGCCACCATACACAAATACTTATATATATGTCCTTAGAAAGAAATCTAAATTGTACCAAAATCTCCAAAATCATAAAACATTCCAAAATTCTCCTATTCAATTATTTCATCAAATTTAAACCACCTGAGCAATGCATAAGAATCAACAATATACTAGTATGGAATATATAACAATTTTAAAAGATGAACCTTCTAAAATTTGATAGATGTTGTGAAGATTCCTTTAATAAAAATCAAAACATACATAATCCAAACTGCTCAAAATTATTATGTTATATCTATTATATATACTAAAATTACCGCATAAATCTTTTACACTTTTAAAATAACTGTTAAACTGTATGTCTAAAATTGTGGTTTTAATGTAAAATGTTGAATGATTTACATTACTGAATATAAATCTACAGCAGTAAATTTTGCATTAATGTAAGGATCTGACAATCCAAGGGAAAGAAAATGAAGTAATCTGCCAGTAAGAAGTCCTCAAGCCGGGGGTCAGATCATGTTCATGGAAACCATCTGGCTGGGACCCTCTGAGCCACACCAAACACAAATGATCGTTTAAAAAAATATCCTATTCATTAATGCATCACAGCTGCACTGAGTGTTACTTCATTTTTCCATGGCAACACCCTTTCTGTTTCAAGGATCTTGTTTCAGTTTTGGTAGCAACGTGTTCTTTTGCCAATATTGAACACATTCATGTGTTAAAGTGAAGGGATTATTACAATTCTTGAAGCAGAACCACCTCTATTTTGATTCCTACTAGGTCAAGGGCTACATATCTAAGTATCACATACTGAGGGTAAACCAGTAAAAATTTTTTGGTAGTCTTATTTTGATAAACAAAATGATCGTAATGCATTTTTTTCTGAAGGTACAAGTTTATGTGCTACTTAGAAAGATATATGCTATTTTGTATCCCTGCATGTGAGGTTTGGAAGATATATTATTCTAATTTATGTGCTCTATAACTGTGGTCACAATTCAGTTAAAAAGAAGAGACTAAGGTTTTCATTTACACATTAATCTGAAAATCTTAATCAGCCACTGCCCATATTAAACACTTTATATATAAATGCTATGAAATTTTGTACCGTATTTTCTGCCCTTTTAAATAGCATTACTATTTCCTATTCCCAAATAACATATTTCTCTTTATTTAAAACTTGAAACTATAGTGATAATTACATTTAGCAAAATTTCTACAGAAGGGCCGGCCCGGTGGCGCACTGGAGAGTGCACCGCTTGGGAGTGCGGCGGCACTCCCG